CAATAGATGTTTCATCATTCTTAAGAGCTTCCATAGATTGTTGTACATAGAAAACATGGACCTAACATATGATATCAGAGTCGGTGTTGTGCTACTGATCGACATTGAAGGACTGGACTCGTGCGCTAACCATTCGCTCGTGTGCTAATCATCTTCCATTTTTGTTTTTATCATTTTTACAGGTTGAAAAACTCCTATCACTGATAGATGATGGATTACAAGTAAACAGACATCCTTCCTCATCATCCACACATATTTTAGTCGCGTACAAATTATCAGACTTTCAGACTTGAAGTTCTATTTAATGCATCGTTGTTATTTTTAAGAGCATAGTGTGGTGTGCAAAGCTAACCACGAACAAAAACTACTCTGCGCAAGGTGAAACTTAGCGCATATCTCTCTGTATGCAAACCTCCTTTTGTGCATCATTGAGCCATGCGCTAACCTCATTTCGTGCATCATCCTCCGTGCGCAAACTTAGGATCACGCATCAGGTCATCATGCGCAAGCCCAGTTGGCGCATCATCGGTCCATGGAGCAAACCTATTTTCCGCATCAACCTGTTTTGTGCTAACTCCACTTAGCGCATCACCACAGTTTACCAACCAACACTTTGCAAAAACAACACAATCCTTTTGTCAATCAACTGCTCATCCCGATCAAACATGGATGCTCTATCAATCGAAAACAACACCAGACCACCCATTCTCCGCAGGGGTAAGTACGTGGTGTGGAAGAACAACTTTCAGAACTTCCTAGAAAGTAAAGATCATTCATCTGGCCTGTTGGACCCGACCACTAATGGTCCAGGACATTGAAGGAAATCTCGAGAACAACCCCAAGTTGGAGACTCTCAAAGACTGAAGACTGAAACTGAATATGCCATGGTTGACAAAATGGCTGACACCTTGGCTCTAATGCTTGAAAGGTCCTCTAAATGAGCTTCTAAGATTCGGAAAGAGAAGATGAAGGCTATTGCTCCGGAAAGTGATGAAAGTGAACACGAAGGTGAAGTTGACTCTGATGACGAACTCATGGACTTTCAAAAGCAGCTAGCACTCCTGACTTATAGGTTTAATAATCAAATCTTTAAGAAGAAGAAGAAATTGTGTTCCAATAGGTTCCGCAAGTCCTCAACCAGCACCAACCGCAAAGAAAGACCATTTAACGCATCTGAGACATTGGATGGTGAGGATGTTCTTAAGTTCTTCAACTGTGGAAAGCTGGACATCTCATAAAGGATTGCAAGTTTCCCAAAAGAAAGAAGGATGTTGATTACTACAAATGGAAAGTTCAATTGAACAAGAAAAAGCTATTGTTAGCCATGAAGGAAGACAACAACAAGAGTGCTTTGATCGCAGAGAAGGATCACTGGATGGATAACCGTCTGACGGAGAAGAGAATAACCCGGCGCTGATGGCCATGATTGAAGAAGGGAAAGAAGGTGAGAAAGAGCACGTAGCTGCAATTTCAGCAGAAGATAAGGGATCAGATGATGATGTAAGTACTTCAAACTCTTCTACTTCATCATTATGTTCTGCATCTGATTCTAATAATCTTATTAAGGAGCTTGAAGGGAGATTAGAACACATTCTCAGGTCCTAGTAAAACAGTTAGTGAAGGAATCTTTCCTGAACGTCAAAATAACTCAGTCACAAGATATGATACAAAGCTAACCCTAGAAAACGAGAAACTAGGAGAGTGCGTTAATGACTTGACTAAGAAACTTAGTAGCTCAGAGCTTGAGAGGAATAGACTACTTGTTGTGAACACAACTCTTTTAGCCACAAGGGATTTTCTTTACGCAAAAATATACGGATTAATTAAAAATTTACATCCTAATTAAGTAAATGAAATGAAACTGTTTGACTAAGAAAAGTCAATGTTGCAAATCAATTTGGGACGGATGTAGTATTTAATATATGTTTTATTAATGAAATAAATAAAAAAGTTATATGAAAAATAGCTAAAATGAACATCTACAAAATTCAACTTTACTTATTCCATTTTTATACTATTAAAAGCTACATGCTTGACAGTATAAAAACGTTGATCGATATCAATAATAAATTGAAAATATATGGTATCAAATCGATTCTCTAATGTTTATATGGTGTATGTAGAGTTTTACATATGTATGTGATGATGGAGCTAAGGAAGTCACTAATGTTTACATATATAAGCATCGTATTATGCTAAGGTATATGTTGGAGTTAATGGTGGAAAGATGACGAGGAATTTACATTTAGTCCTAATGTCTCATAAGATTCAGACATTCAGTGATGTTTAAGTTAAACAGTTTAACTTGGAAGAGTAAAATAATAAAATAAAATTGTGTTTTCGATATTTGTGCAGTAAAGATGGAAACCACTTTAATCACATAAGTAGTACATATTTATGAGGTGGAAACCACTTTAATCACATAAGTAGTACATATTTATGAGAGATATGACTAATTACTGTCATGTTTTGGCAATACCGGACTTCAAACATGGCAGTATTTTTCAAACTTGGCAGTAATAAGTCATATTTTGAGAATAAAAACAAGACAGTCCTATTTTGGAATCTTCAATCTTTTTTAGTCCTATTTCGGGAACTTTCCCTATTTATGACCTTAGTCATATTTGTTTTTTCAGCATCAGTTAGACTTTGATAAATAAAATATTTATATAAGAAATATTTACAATATGAAAATATTTTATGTTAAAAATACTATCATAAAAGTATAAATTAATAATTTTCACCAAAATATAAGTGTCAAAATGATTAACAAGAGTTTACCATAGGACGGGGATAGTATATGATTGCGGGCCCTGGATTTTTTATTCAAAGTTGCTCCGTGTACACATTATGTCCATGTGTGTGTGTACACAAGAGTGTACTGTTGGGAAAAACTCTGAATTTTCCCGCTTCGTGAAGTTAAGATAGGTACTTAGGAATTAATGTAGCTTAGAAATCGGAGCACACAAGTATAATTCTCCAATTCGGAGATTTACAAGGATGTGTTTACATAATTGTCTCACTCTATGGTGGCTTACTCAAACTTGAAGATTGGAACTTCCCAAGCTAACTCTTTTTCCTCTCAAAGAGGCTATATAATTCTATATCTTTCTCACTCAAAGTGGACTTCCTTGCTAGGATGGTTAGGAATGAAGACCCCTACTCCTATTTCTACTACTCCACCTCTATAATGAATGGTGGAGAGTAGTTCTCCAGAATGCTCTACACATCTCTACATGTTTTAGAGAACTCCAAGGACACTTGTTTCTACAACTTCAAAGAGTGTCCAGACCTCACTAATCCTCGTTATATGAACAAAGTCAATTGTGTTCAACTCTATGACGTTAGATATATGGGATTAGGGATGACCAAACTTATGGCTTTCACTGGAGCCGAAGAAATCAATGCCCTTAAGGATGACAATAAGAAAACCAAAGCGAGAACTGAAATTCGTTTTGACTATTCCGAACTGAACAAGAGTTACAAGAACCGTGAGATCCCTTTGACCCAAAATGAAGGGATTTTGCTTACCCACCTAACGGCTATATGTCCCCCAACCCCTATTTTTTTAAGATGCTCAACTAGCCATATCATTGGGACCAAAACGGAGACTGGGACCGCCCGGTCTGGTCCCCAAAACGTATACCTAAGACCAAGTCTGCTGGTTAACCAGTCGGGTACACGGTCTTGATTCGAGACTGGAAAATGGATCCGGCCCAGTCTCAAACAGTACTAGACCGGGTCCACTCCAACCTTATCAAGTCAGTTTAGGTTCAAATTATACAAATCGGATTAGAATTTAAATACACAAAATTAGATCAGACCAAATTTAAAAGTTGTAAAATACACATAGATCACACATCTACCATACCGCACCATTTCAGAACAACAATTCAGACGAGTCTAAAAAATTTCAATCCAATTAGAAAGATCCTTAGTCTCATGAGAATCAAAATATGTATAAGTGTTTCCAATTATTTCAATATTATTTATACTTTTGGGACATTCTCTGTATTATATGTTTTGGTTTCCTATTTTCTTACAGTATATAAAAATATATTTATTTTGAAAAAATGACATGTATATTTGTAATCGAGTTTCTCCGGAAAAAAATGATTACTTATGTTTTTTGGAAAAATATAATTGGTCACTGTGTATGAGTAACTGAACAAAGGTCACTATAGTGTAGGAGTAGTGTATTTCAGAGTGACAATTCACTTGTATATGATGAATCATTCGGAACTATTTACTGAATATGTCATTTTTTGGAAAATTTTAAAATAAGTCATATTTTTATTTGTTGAATTTAATTTAGTACTCACTATGTCCCAAATTGAGATGCAAAATTGATTTTTTTGAGTCAAACAGATTCATTTTATTCACTTAATTATGTTATCAATTTTTAATTGAATTTTAATTTAGGCTTTGCAACTTTATAGATATATTAATGTAGTTTCTGAATATGTAAATTATAATTATTACAATCGAATTAGTTATCAATAGGGGAGATTTAACTGTAATGATGTTCTCTTTTGAAGTGTTTTGAGTTCCAAACCAGACCAGACCAGATTAGACCAGACGTAAACAGACTCGACAAGACCAAACCAGATCAGACTTAAATAGACTAGACTAGATCACACTTAAATAGACTAAACAAGACTAGACTAGACTTGGACAATTATAAAATACACAGAGACCAGACATTTACTAGACCAGACCAACCTTGTTCAGAACAGACCAGACCAGATCAGATCAAACTTAAACAAATCAGACTATGCCATAAAATTTCAATCCAAAAAAAACATCTTAACATTGATTGACAAAAAGATTTTAACTTTACAAAATAATTTGGGAGAAAATGTTAATATTATTATTTTTTTGGACAATTCTCTGGTAATATTAATTGAAAAAGGTTTTATTCTTTTCGAACAATGTTATGTTTTTTTTGACATTATACAAAAATAAAAATAAAAAGGAAACCATATGTTTTGGTTTCCTAAGTTAACTAGTACTCCGTAAATACTGTTCGATTGAAAGATTACACTAATATCTTTTGTTTCCTAAGTTAACCATATCTTTTGGTTTCCTAAGATACCATTGATTACAAAAGATATCTTTCGATCATCTATTATCTGATTTATCTCTTTAAATACTACTCCCTAAAACGGAGTAAAACTGTAGCAGAGTTCTTCGCTATTAAATCCTCTCGCTGCGTTATCATCGACCGTGTAATCGGAAGATATCTTTTGGCTACAATGGTGACAAAAAATACTGCTGATTTGGGGAGGAGCGGAGGAGTTTACATCCCTCTTTTCAAGTTGGCTAGGATGATGGAGGATGAAGAGGACAAAAGCTCAGTGGAATACCAAAAGATCACGTGGGATGCTCTTAGGAAGAGTATAAATGGGTTGGTTAATAAAGTTAATGCAACAAATATCAAGAACATCATTCCAGAACTTTTTGCTGAAAATCTGATTCGTGGAAGGGGCCTGTTTTGCCGCTCTTGTATCAAGTCCCAGATGGCTTCTCCTGGTTTTACTGATGTTTTTGCAGCACTGGCTGCTATTGTTAACACCAAGTTCCCAGAGGTTGGAAATCTTCTTCTGAGGAGGATTATTTTGCAGCTTCAGAGAGCCTACAAACGCAATGATAAGCCCCAATTGTTGGCAGCTGTTAAATTCGTTGCCCATCTTGTGAACCAGCAAGTAGTTCATGAGCTGATTGCCCTTGAACTTGTTGCTGTTTTGCTTGAAAATCCCTCAGATGACAGTGTTGAAGTTGCAGTTGGTTTTGTTACTGAGTGTGGGTCTATTCTCCAAGACTTGACTCCACATGGATTGTATGGTATTTTCGAGCGGTTCCGTGGGATACTTCATGAAGGAGAGATCGATAAAAGAGTCCAGTTCATGATTGAAGGCCTCTTTGCAATACGCAAATCAAAGTTTCAGGGTTATCCCGCTGTTCGCCCTGAGCTCGATTTAGTAGAGCAGGAGGATCAGATCACCCATGAAATATCTCTTTGGGATACTATAGAAGATGAAGATGCACTGAATATTTTCAAGCCAGATCCCAATTACTTAGAAAACGAAAAGAAGTATGAAGATTTGGAAAAGACAATACTAGGTGATGAATCTAAGGAAGAAGGGGATTCTGATGCTGAGTCTGTGGTTGAAGACGAAGAGGATGAAGTGGAAGATGATGAGAAACGAATGAGAATAACTGATGAGACGGGAACAAACTTAGTCAATCTTCGAAGAACCATCTATCTGACTATTATGTCGAGTGTGGGCTTCGAGGAAGCAGGCCATAAACTCTTGATGCTTAAACTTGAGCCTGGTCAAGAGATGGAATTATGCATAATGATTCTAGAGTGCTGCAGCCAGGAGAGAAACTACCGCCCTTTCTATGGGTTTTTGGCTCAACGTTTTTGTATGATCAACAAGATTTACCAGGAGAACTTTGAAAAGTGCTTTGTGCAACAGTACTCAACGGTTCATCGGTTGGAAACCAATAAACTGATAAATGTTGCACAGTTCTTTGCCCACTTGCTTGAAACTAATGCATTGCCTTGGCATGTTCTGTCTTACATTCGACTCTCCGAAGAAGATACCACCTCCTCTTCCCGCATCTTCATCAAAAATCTCTTCCTGGAATTATCTGAACGTCTTGGGATCCGGCTTTTGAATGAACGCCTGAATGATCCAACCATGCAAGAGTCGTTTAACTCTATTTTCCCAAAGGACAACCTGAAGAATGTAAGGTTTGCAATTAATTTTTTCACCATCATCGGCCTGGGTGGGATCACTGAGAACCTCCGGAAATATCTGAAGATTATGCAAGGCCTCATCAAGCAGCAGCAACAGAAGCACACCACCCCTGAGGAAGAGGAGACTGCACGAAGAAAAAGGGGGAGGCGTTGATCTGCCCAAATGTATCGTTTTAAACTTTGTTCACTTTTTAAACATTTTTCCTAGGTGACTTTGTCCTATAAATTGATTTTCAGATGAACAAAATCATTCTCAATTTTTTTTTAAATAGTGAAATTGTGATTCAATCACGAGCTTTAGATACACTCTGATGAATGGAATCAATTATGTAAATTGTGTTAGTCATAATTGTTGGGTGTGTTTCGGAAAATAAAGAAAATTAATTAAAATAAATTAATTAAATAAAATGACGAAAGAAAAACAAGAAAGGAGATGAAGCAGAATTTGTCAAAGCTCGTGCTACGCACGATGTCCTTAAAACGTATTTGTTGCCTCCCACGGTGCTAGGAGCGTTGCAACAATAGTTTCCCAGGATACGATGACAACGAACTAGTGTTTGAGCACTCAAACAAAAGTTCCAGCGAACGAGAACAAAGACTGAACACAGAAGGAATTTTCAGAGTGCTAGCAGTGTGTTTTTAGAGCTAAAACGTGTATGGATTCGTGTAAAATCGTGTAAGAACGTGTTTTGTTGCAAACCACCTGCCAGCCATTATATAGGAGGATTTGTTGTACGAAAATAGTGAATTAATGGACCTGAACGTTGGACATCAATGACCAGTCCGTTGGGCATTGAATCGTCCATGAACTGTCCATTTAACACTGCATTAAAAGATATAAACGTTGGGCATTTATTGCTGTAACGGTTCAGAAGTGCCACCAGAATACCAACGCGAGGTATTCTGATCGAGGCCATCAGAGACCGACACCAGAATACCAACGCGAGGTATTCTGATCGAGGCCATCAGAGACCGACACCAGAATACCAACGCGAGATATTCTGATGCCATGAGAGACCGAGGTCTTCTGCCGCTAGACACTTCTGTCAACTGGTAAAAAATATACGTTTCGGGAAGAAAACAAAAATTAATCGTATCTCTTGAGAGATAGATTTTTGGACGACATTCGTGTCCGCAGGTCGCCCGCACACGCAAGTCGCGGTTTTTCTTCTCCGAATTCGGGATTTGATTTGCACCCCCTGCGCGCGTGAGAGAGCCTTTACCCTTAAGAATCTTAACTCCTCAAGGGGGGAGATCCCTTATAAAGGGTTGCAAATCCCTTGGGTTTTCCGGTGTGGGAAATTAACACTAGAAACCCATCCTTTTTCCCAGTTTTTCCATTCTAACGGGTCAACTTCGAAAAGCGATTTCTCATTCACCCGTTATCCGTTTTGAGCGTACCATATATCGAATTGTAGCCCTAAGCAAGGACAATCCGAAACCACTTTGACCCGACCCAAATCGGAAGTGGACCCCACTCAGAAAATTGCCCCAAAATAGCCATTTAATGCAATTTTTCACACATTTTTCCAACAATAATGTCATCTTCAACTTCTGATGCATCGTTATCAACTTTTCTCAAGTTTGAATACTCATATGACTATGAATTCACAAGCCCTTTCACTATCTGTTGAGAACTTCCTCTAGTGTGTATGCCTATTCACATAAGATAAGCATATTACATATAGAATTAAATATTATAAGGGATTTAAGTAATAACCAGATCTTCATCCGCTAAACAAATAAAGAATGATAAACTAGCACATAACTTTTAACTCTGTCAAAATAATGAGAAAAGAATAGGAAAATGTTAAGGTGCAATCACGTTTCAGCTTGTTTTGGTGCATTTCACAGTTGACCTCATCTTATTCGTCACTAAGTCCTTAGCCTAACAACTCATTTACATTTTTTGTTTCGGTAGCAAAGAAACCAGAGAAGCTAAAGGATCTCCCATCCTCCAGCAGTCCAGCTTTTCAGATCGAAAGAAAAGAAACTAGAGAAATGAAAGGATCTTCCATGGGGCAAAAAAATGGAGCCTAAATACTTGTTTGGTTCTGCAGGGGAGGGAGGGTTGATTATATTTTACTAATTTGTGTCTATTTTTTATTAGCCAGTGTTCGATTTTAAAGAACTACATGCTTATAAAGGAATAATCTTTTATCTTCCCTTTATATGCAATCATATTCCCTTCTATATAGTTTCTTTTTTTTAAGGAATAAGCTTAATTATACTTTTTATGGGAAGTGATTCATGTTTGATAGAAGGAAAAATAAATATTGCAATCACCTTTGAGTAGAATGGTGAAGTGCTTCAATTTTTTTTAAAACAAATTAATACGGAGTAGTAAAGTAAAACAGCTAGTTTTAGGCACTATGTTAATTGTGGAGCTCTTGCTTTCGTTTGCTACTAAATTTACTGGCGTTAGTTGCATTTTCATGTTTGAGTCTGCTTGTGAAAAGCCGCTCAAGGATCAAGGCATCGCTTCTACAGTTGTTTGTGTTTTTTCTTTGTATTTATAGCTTTGAAAATGGTGGTTTGGGATATCAAATTTGAATGTGTACACAAATAGTTTTTAGGCAAAAAAATTAAAAACCAGGCCTAGCTTCTCTCTCAGTATCATGTCTCCTGCAGCAATGGTAAGTTCATGGATATTGATACAAAACTCAATTGAAGTGAAGCAAACTGTAAGCAAAATAGTACATATGGATACAGGTGTAAAGAAGCATCACACAAAGAGGTCAAGATCTTTCGGTTCAAGAGTGTGCAAATTAGATATAAGTTTAAATGATCTATTTTATCTTTTAGTTCAAAATGTTGGACTGATTCCTCTAAATCTTCAAAGAACTTCTAATATTATAATACACGCGCCAATAAAAATGAACCATACAACATTACAAAAAGTGACAATAGGAGAATCTAAAGTGAACACAGTGAGACTTAAGTTTATATCCTTTTGTATAGACTTTAATATCATTTAAATATGCTACATATATTCAGAAAAACAAGTCAATAGCTGCTTATGTCAACTGGGATGTGAGGTTCAAGGATTTGAAAGGTGTGGTTTTCTGTATTTCATAATGAAAGTTGTTTCGTTTTCTCCTTTATATGAATCCCTCACAGTATTTTATGTTTTGTGTTGCAGGCTCATCATTTCTTAAAGAATCTCTGTGAGGAAAAAAGAAGAAGTTTCAGTGTGTTTGCAAAGATGTGGATCTTGAATTACTATTTCCGCGTCTCCTTGACCAAATCCCCCCACATTAGGATTATACGTTAATGGTCGATCAAATTTGATATCTTCCCCTTCTGAAACAAGAAGTTCTGGTCCAGGAGGGATTATCCAACTCACAGCTGTTGATGTTTATATCGAGCATTAAAGGCCGCACTTTTACCCTTGAGGTTCATCGGTTTTCATTTCTATCATTTTCCTACATGGGGTGGGATGTGTCTTGAATCTGAAAGTTCCACTTGTTAATCTTTCTAAACTTACAGTTTAATAATTCAATGTTGCATGGATTCACTCTTATCCTATACTACGTATTAAATAATTTACTGGGTTCTTATTAATCAAGTGATGTAATTTAGTAGCCAGATAAAGAAGTGGAAGATTGATGTTGCGGAGTTAGCAAAATATATGGGCTGCAGAATGTGTGGAAACTTGAGCCACTCTGCAATGGTTTGAAATATATTTTATGGAGGCTATCCAGGTTTCTGAAGAATGAAGAATCTGATGGATTGTATGTCTTCAGAAATATATACGGAGTACTTCTTTATCTTTCAAATCTACTTCTGAAGCTAGGTGCCAATGGCTACAGGTGATGCCAATGTGCTTCTTAGGATAGCTTTTCAACTCTTTGGTCATTTCCAAATAGGTAACCATAGTTGGTTATAATTGCTGCCCATGCCTGTAGCTATTCTAATGTGGTTGATTCAGATTAGCAATTTTGGTCTATATCTAATATGTTTATTTGTTAACAAACGCTTTACGATCCTGTGGGTGACTAAAAAAGATTATTTGCTTTTTGCCTCACGTATGCTTCTAGATGGGAGATCAAGAAGGCAAGAAGAATGTGGGAAGATTAGTTGGATGACACAAGCTTTCAGCCACATTATCCTTATGGTGTTACTTGTATGAAGGATCAAGGAATTGCAAGTAATATCAATAGGAAAGACAGTCAGAGTTATACTTACGGAACTCTTATTTATGTTAATGGAATCAAACAAATTCATTCTGGTCTTTGGTCATTGATTCATTCCATAAATTACTTTTCTAGGACAACACATGTAGCTTCTAGTCACTAGTGTTAACTTACAACAATATCCAAACCTTATTCTCAAAAAATTTTGGGGTCAGCTATCATTGGTGTTACCTTATGTGACAAAATTTTTATTAGTACCTTCTGTTGCAAAAAATGGAACTAGGAGCAAACTGAGCCTTTGAACGGTGTAAACTCCAATCTCTCAAGGAATTGCTAGTGAAAGCTAGGGATGGACTGGGACGGGACCAGGCCGGGCTTCGCGGCGGGACTTGGCGGGCTTCAGGCTTAAGGATTTCAAGCTTGGTACCGGCCTATGTTTGTACCGGTATCAGGTCAGGCCGGTTGAGCCTCGGCCTGGGTCGGGCCGGGCTACCCGACCTTGCCTCAGTCTGGGCCCAGGTTGGGCTTTTTTTTAATTTTTTGTATAATTGATCGTTGATTTAATGGAGTTTTTATGAATATTTGACCATTGAGGCCCGGACCAATCTTGGCCAGGCCAGTCCACTAAAACATGAGCCCGAAGCCCGCCTACCTCTTTCACCGGGCTGGGTCCCGGGCTTGGTACCGGTCCGGGACAACTGGGTAGCGGGTTGGGTCGGCAGCGGGTTAGATAGACCCGTCCCAGTCAATCCCTAATGAAAGCTACTATTGTTACTCCACTTCATTTTAAAAACTTTGCTTTGGATATTATGTATTTCATCTCACTAATGGTGAAACAAAATAACTCTTTTGGCACTAATTATACATTTCCAACTTAATAGACATGTGCAGAACCTTCATTATTCGCTACTGCTTGATACATGATTAATTTATCTTCTGCTTTAATTTCAATCAAATAGAAATTGAATCTACAAGTCACACCACTAAAAGAAGAAAACGATAAACGAATGGTGATGTGCCTAATCCAACAAACCTGCAAGCAAACTGTATGGGATAGTAAGCTTTAAATTGTATAAAGCTTAGATTATATACTAAGCTTTAACAAAAAAGATTATCAAACATAGCATGCGACAAACTCTCATGCGATAGACAATTAAAGATTAAAAATTGTAGTGGACTGTTGCCACTTTTACTCCGACTATTATATCATTGACACTTTTGGTACTCCGACTATTATGTCATTAACACTTTTTGGTACTCGACTTTGATTTTTTTCATTTTTAGTCCTCGACTGTTGCGCTAGAGACACTATTGGTATCCGTCTTTAAAATTTTCCATATTTAATCTTTCAACTTTCATAAAGGTGAAATTTTTGGTCCTTCAACTATTATAATAGTGACATTTTTAGTCATCCACTTATTGTGTCAAAATCATAATAAGAGAACTAAAAGTGTTTTTTTAACAGTACTCAGGGACTAAATTTGAAAAACTTTGAAGTTGGGGACTAAAAGTGTGTCTAGCACAATAGTCAAGAACAAAAAATGAAAAAATTAAAAGTCGAGTACCAAAAGTGTCATTGACATAATAGTCGGGGGACGGAAAGTGGCAAAAACTCTCTTAATAAGCTCATACTCCGTATATATCTATATATACGTGTCACGTGTGCATATCAACTCGAAGATAAAGTAATAGATGCAACAACATACGGAGTATTTCTTATTTATGGTGTCATTATGAAGCAATTAAAATGAGAAAATAGGGAGAGCGAAAGAGAAATCAATAAGACATAAGGATAGAGAGTTGGTGGAATGGCATCTTGTCGGCTAGATTACAACTTACAAGGTTTAGACGGTAAAAATTTGAAAAAATATGTATCCCCTACTAGAATGTTACTTATAATCCATTTCACATAATGAAACAAATTGTTCAGATAATGAGGCGTAGACCACGAGAAGAACAAAGAGACAATCAGTAATTCAGCATTCTCCAACCCGCATGTTGCAATCTCAATATATACACACTTCATTTGTAAATGAATAACTTTAAAGGAATTATTTACTAATAACACAATGTGACATTAAGATAAGTTACATTCATAATAATAGATAAAATGGTTGTGTCTTCATGTGTTGTATTAAAATTTCGCAGTATATATTTCATTAGTTCATCAATTCATGCCACAAATTGAAAATACACACGTTGATAAAGTAATAAGCTAGCTCATCAATACATTTTAAACAGATTGATGGTAATCCGCCAAATCATAACACATTCCATTGTATTTCTTTCATCATAAACCTCAAAGTTTTTACTTCGTGCAAAAGGAGCATACAATAAATTCTCATACCAAGCCCTTTGACTTGCAGAAAGAAATAAATACAAAAAATAAAACCTCAAAATCTAGTAAGAAGAAAATCCTCATCTTTAGAGAAGCCAATCAAATTACTCATAATTTAGACATTACTTGAAACAAAGTGCAGTGTAATGTTAAAGGAGATATCCTCCGTGATTTAGACGATGTCTTTATAATGCACAGATAATATATATGCTATGGTATCAAAAAATGTCTTCGATCATATGACAAGCTCAAGGCAGCAGGAAGTTATGATTTTTGCTTTCTCACAAATACTCCGTAATAAAACAAAGCAGAACAAAACAAAAATTTATTGGAAGGCTTTACAAAAAGGGAAGAAGGGAAACCAGTCATATTTTTAGAACTTGTTTAGAACTGTGAACAAGTATTGTTGTATTTCATATACTTGATAATCAAGTGCTATACAAGAGGCTATATTTATAGCTATATTTAGAGTACTAGGGTTTCCTATACAAGAGATACAAATGGGCTAAGCCCAATACTACTGGTTTTCACACTCCCCCTCAAGCTGGAGCATATAAATCATATGTACCAAACTTGTTACAAATATATCCCACTCTAGGACCTCTGAGAGACTTGGTTAAAATATCTGCAAGTTGTTCAATTGTGTTCACATATTTTGTGATGTATGTCCACTCGTGATCTTCTCTCGGATAAAAAGACAATCAACTTCAATATGTTTCGTCCTCTCATGATATACCAGATTTGATGCAATGTGCATTGCAGCTTGATTATCACACATGAGTTGAACCGGTTTTGTGTTTCCATATTTTAACTCTTGGAGGAGATGCTTCAACCATAAGATTTCACATGTAGCAAGGGCCATTGCACGATATTCTGCTTCAGCACTAGATCTGGCAACCACATCTTGTTTCTTACTTTTCCATGAAATTAAGTTTCCACCAATCAAGATGCAATATCCCGATGTGGAACATCTATCCATCGGACATCCGGCCTAGTCTGCATCACAGTATCCCAAAATATCGTGGTGGCCTCGATCTTCAAACAACAATCCTTGCCCTGGAGTTTTCTTGATGTATCTCAAAACTCGGATAGCTGCATCCCAATGTCTAGTACATGGCTTATCAAGAAACTGACTAAGAACACTTACCGCAAATGAAATATCTGGTCTCGTGATGGTAAGATAATTCAATTTGCCGATGAGTCTTCTATATTTTTCCTTGTTGGGCAAAAGATCTCTCTGCTCTGATAAGAGTTTAACGTTCGGATCCATTGGTGTATCCACTGGCCTGCAATCTAGCAACCCTGTTTCCTCAAGAATATCCAAGGCATACTTTCTTTGTGAGAGAGCAATTCCATTTTCAGACTGTGCGACCTCAATGCCAAGGAAGTATCTTAATTTTCTCAAGTCTTTTGTTTGAAATTTGCTAAAGAGATGTTGCTTGAATTGAGGAGCACAATTCCTTGATCATCGCTACCTGTAATGACAATGTCATCAACATACACAATGTACCAAAACATGCAGCAATGTAAATGTAGGGGAGAGCTACCCAAAAGAATATTGTGTTTAAGTAGAGAAGGTGCCATGCATCATGCATGCATACAGAAAATATCAATCTAAAGATGTAAAGTGTTACAGAAGACATCATGATATTAAATAGCAATGTCAAAAAGGAACAACTTGATATTAAATGTGATGCAGTATCTAGAACTCTGAGATGCATACAGTATACTGTAACTTGATATAACACAAGATGGGATATTATTCAATTCCTTTACTCGTCATATGCCGTCAAAAGAGGAGAGTGTAAGCAGGGCTGCAATGGAAATAGATTAATGGGGTGTTTGGATCTGATTCTTAAAACTGCTTCTGCTCCTGAAGGAGCAGAAACAGAAGTTAAGTGTTTGGGTGAATGTGCAGAAGTAATTTTGGTGTTTTAATTTACTCATCGAATCAGTTTTTTTAGAAGCTGGGGGAGACCAGTTTCTGAAAACCGATTATGATTCTGCTTCTGCTTTAAAAAAGAAGAGATGACTAAAACTAGGTATGACTAAAACTCCATCAGTTTCTCAATCTATGACCTTATTACTTTTTTTACCAAAATAATATCAAAATTCGTAGTAATTCATTAATATATTAATAATTAAATAAATAAATAATTTTTGTGGACCGATATGCCCTTAAACTATAATTATAAAACCATAATCACCTAATACCCTAATTTAGCCGACCTGCATTAGCCAAGAGCCTCTTCCCCGACCTGGAAGCAAACCTTCGCCGCAGGAGCTACTTCGCCTGGAGGGGCCCGGAGGAAGCATCCACACCGATCTGGATGCATACACGATAGCCGTCTTGGACATTGCCGACAACCTCACATCTGCGCACGGGTGCCGAGGACTTCAACCAGGGATGTATGGTGATTGCTACGCGAGGATCCGGCCACCGGTGCTCGTTAGTCATGGTGGGAGACTATATATTCACGGCGTTATGTAATTATTAGACTATCACGGTTGTTTGTTTAATTTTCAAATTCAATTTTCTGGGATTGGTGATAGGGTTCTAGTTTCTCTTGTACAGTTTGGAATGTTCCCATAAAAATATTTTCTTTGATCATTGGGTAAGCCTCAAGTGACGAAAGCATCTTTCTTTTTTCAATCTTGGATTCACCATTGGTGATAGAGTGACGAAATCCCTCTATTTGGATCTGTTTACACCCGGCACACCATCATCGGGCCATATTCTAAGGCATTGAGAACGGGCACTGAATATATGGACAGTAAACATGAGCAGTGAATGAATGTATTGAGGAAAAGTGTTGTGTATTGAATCGGAGAAAATAGATAGTGTTGAATATGGACAATGAGCATGACATTGGATAATGTTGTCTACGAGCAGTGAATGAATGCATTGCTGATGAAGTGTTTTCTGCAGTAAATCAAATTCAATAGAACAATAATGATGGCACAAGATGTAATATATTTAACTGGATGTAAAAAGCTAATTTAAAGTTATTACATCTAAAAATAAATTAATAAAGAACTATAAATAAATTCCAAACGTGGATAAGAAGATATTAATGTTGACATGAAGTGCAGTGATTTTACAGGATGTGCAATAATGTTGTGCATTAATATCGTGCATTAAAGACAATATAAAGTGCAATAATTTTAATTGAACGGAATTAGTGCAAATTGCACATATTTTAAATAAGGGTATTTTCGTCATTCAACATTTAAATATAAACGAATTTTCTATTTGTTTTTGGATTTTTGGTCATACAAAGGTATAAAAACTAGAAAAAATGGCCCGGTTATACCTAATTGACTTTTGATTTCCATTTATATGAGGCTTTTGATATATTCCCAAAAAGTGACCCGCATCTTTCTTCATTCAACAGGCTCTGCTTTCCTTTCTTCATTCGACACAAGGCCTCACCATTCGGCGGCATCTTACGGTCCTGCATCTTCACAGCTCACAGCACCACCGCCCCGTCGCACACTAGCACCGCACCGACGCGTTGCGCACCACCACATGGCGGACAAA